TTTTGGCTGATTGTTTTAGTCCACATTTGGTTTAAATAGTTGATGTTACCATTGTTAAAGTTTCAATTGGTTATGATGTATACTTTACTGCCATTTGTTTTTCATTTATTTTGTTCATTTTTTTATCATTTAAGCTCAAATATGTTTCCACTCTATACTTTCAGAATTAATCTTATGTGTTCCGATTTATTGATCCCGATATGGAGAAGGATACAATGAAATCCGTATGTTAGGTCCCTGAGTAACCTTTGTAGAGAGTAACTTCATAGGAAGATATTCAATATAGATCTTCAAAGTGTTATGGGACGGCAAAGAAAACGAAAACAATTAAAAGTCGATGTCTTTAATGTGAGGCACAAAAATTAGACGGTTCTCATTCAGGAAACAAGAATATGGCGGTAAAACAGATCACATGTCTACTAGAAGAGAAACATCTTGTCTTTGATAAAACAAATAGAGGTTTTTATGACAAGCATGGAGAAAAAATACATTATCTAGTCAGAGAACCAGCTATGCTTCTAAATCAAGTGATTCCAGAGGGATCTGTACAGACGCAGTTGAGATCTTGTTTTGATTTGAAGCCTCTTTCAGATCCGCCCACCACAGAGTAAGCATATTCAGAACTTTGAGTAATCTAATGGCGTATCGCGTAGGTTAGATACAATGTAGGGAGTGTTTGAAAGTCATTGGAAGCTAACATTTAGTACGTATCGAGCGAATAATTTCTTTCCACAAAATTGACCAGCACGATATATTTGGAGTGGTATTACACAGCTCATAATCACTAGAAAAAGCGTGATGTATTTTTAAAAGGTGCCATATGATATATCAAATGACACAAAAAATGTCGTTGGAATAATGAACATGAAACCCGGTCTTTGCTATCAGGTTTCTGCATGTATAAAGATGTACAAAACTGTGGGATCAGTGTCCACAGTGTTGACGACTAGTCTTATTATACTGACGCGGAACATCTCTTCCTTTCACAATGCGGTTTAAAATAAGACAGTTATGTGATGTCGTACTTGTTTTTCTGACTGTGTTTTGTCTGATAGAAAATGAAAATATTTGGAATATCTTTTATCAGAGGTTGTCAAAGGGTTCTCATGTTTTAATGCAGAATAGTGGTGTGACTTTTGCTAAAGTTAGTGATATACAAATCATATTTCAGAATATATTACAAAACTCCGTTGTTTGAAAATATCACTACAACATCAGCGAACCACACAAAAGTAATTCCTTTTAAAAAAATCTTACCTTCTGGACGTAAATATGCAGAACTTGATAAAGGATGTATTGGACAACTGGACGCGTAAAACACCATGAAAGCAATACATTTACATTTACAGTACCTCAATAGAATATTCGTATCTATTTTTTTAATGTATTAAACCAACCTATCCGGGTAGGCCCTACTACGTACTTCTCTTCCTGACCCCGTTTTAGTAAGTGATACATGCGTGGTCGGTTTTTCTGACGTAATTGAAATTGATAGGGACCATGACGCAACTATCGTTGGAATTAAACTAAATGTTTTTCTTACCCTCAAATTTAAACGTATGATTTGGTGTTACACGGAAATGCTGCCTTTCCCAAGTTTAATCACCTGTTACAAAACACTGACTGGCATCAAGTATTTAGAAATGCTCACATATGTGATAACATGTACTTATTTTTTACCATTGAGTCAGAATAAGAAATCGATTACATGAAAACTTTGAAGATTTTTTTTCTGTAGAAAATTTGGCCAAATTTAAAACACAAAGAAATCATGTCAACAATCTTCAACGTAGGACAAAAGACTATTATATGCCGATATTAATGAGCTACTAGATAATTATGTAATATTTATTCAAAAGAATTTCTGGAAACTAGTTTGTAGATTAATTAAGAGTGCTAAAGTAGCTTACATTCTACCTCCACGCATATCTCTGATACCATAGTAGTAGACGATGAACGAAAGGCTAACAATTCAAAGGATCCTTTTGTGTTTATTTCTACCAAAGATGACTCGAGCCTACCTTAACCCTACGTTGATAATATGAAAGCAAATTCGTATTGATAATATATTTTCCCTCAATTTGATATTGTTGACATCCGTAAGTCCTTAAATCTAATTAAAGCTGTTTGATATGATGTTAGTCACCCATTTTCAAGAAATGCGATTAACAATGTCTCAGTTATTATATATCTATAGCTTGAAGCGGGGCGCATTGTCACTGGTCTTCATTTGCAAGGAGAGCATCTCTTTATTTTGAAACTGGTTGGGAAGTCTCATCTAAACGACGCACTCGTCGCAAGCTTCTCTCTCATACCTTACAGACCTTCTTCATACATTAGTATCTTCATTAACTCAATACAAGTTGAGAAACACTCTGGAATCTATTCCATTCGTAATTTTCGTCTACAATCTACACTTAATTTTTTATACCTTCAACGTTAAGGTTGTGGAGTGATCTAGACATTAATATTAAAACTGCGACCTCTTTAAGATCTTCAAAGACCGTCTCTCTCTACAAAATGAAATTTAATGTAGTTGATTACTACCTAGTTGGAGATCGTAAGCTTAATATCGTATTAACCAAACTTCGACATAAATGCAGTCCTTTAAATGAAGATCAACGTTAATCTAATCGACTCTCCCTCCTCTGCATGTGGATATCCTAATGAAAATGCCCATCATTTCTTTGCATGTAGTAGATATAACGTCTTGTCATGCTTAGAAACCTTCGTAAGTATTTGTCTTTAAGTGTAGACAAACTATTATTTGGCCAAAAGACTACTCAATGATGGGCGCGGTTAAATGTATACTGCAGTGTAAGAGTAGGTGTGTGTATGATCCTTCTGTAAATAGTTCAATATAAAGATGGAGTAAAAATGTAGCCATGTAGTGGGCCATTCGGTTACAGTCGGTGTACTGGTGGGCCATTCGGTTATAGTCGGTGTAGCGGTGGGCCATTCCGGTATAGTCGGTGTAGCGGTGGGCCATTCGGTTATAGTCGGTGTAGTGGTGGGCCATTCGCTTATAGTCGGTGTAGTGGTGGGTCATTCGGTTATAGCCGGTGTAGTGGTGGGCCATTCGGTTATAGCCGGTGTAGTGGTGGGCCATTCGGTTATAGTCGGTGTAGTGGTGGGCCATTCGGTTATAGTCGGTGTAGCGGTGGGCCATTCGGGTATAGTCGGTGTAGCGGTGGGCCATTCGGGTATAGTCGGTGTAGTGGTGGGCCATTCGGTTATAGTCGGTGTATTAGTTGGTCATTCGGTTATAGTCGGTGTAGTGGTGGGCCATTCGGTTATAGCCGGTGTAGTGGTGGGCCATTCGGTTATAGTCGGTGTAGTGGTGGGCCATTCGGTTATAGTCGGTGTAGTGGTGGGCCATTCGGTTATAGTCGGTGTAGTGGTGGGCCATTCGGTTATAGTCGGTGTAGTGGTGGGCCATTCGCTTATAGTCGGTGTATTAGTGGGTCATTCGGTTATAGCCGGTGTAGTGGTGGGCCATTCGGTTATAGTCGGTGTAGTGGTGGGCCATTCGGTTATAGTCGGTGTAGTGGTGGGCCATTCGGTTATAGTCGGTGTAGTGGTGGGCCATTCGGTTATAGTCGGTGTAGTGGTGGGCCATTCGGTTATAACCGGTGTAGTGGTGGGCCATTCGGTTATAGTCGGTGTAGTGGTGGGCCATTCGGTTATAGCCGGTGTAGTGGTGGGCCATTCGGTTATAACCGGTGTAGTGGTGGGCCATTCGGTTATAGTCAGTGTAGTGGTGGGCCATTCGGTTAAAGTCGGTGTAGTGGTGGGCCATTCGGTTATAGTCGGTGTAGTGGTGGGCCATTCGGTTATAGTCGGTGTAGTGGTGGGCCATTCGGTTATAGCCGGTGCAGTGGAAACGAATATTCAAGAATGAGCGGAATAAACGAGAGGAAGTCAATCAGTACTATTTTGGCTACACTGGAGGGTGCCATTTACGTGACAAGCATCTTATATATTCTTTAAAAATAACTATTATCATGTTAATATGAATAAGTGTGATTTTTTTAATGATATATTTAAGATGTATTGTATACGAATTTATTTATTTAACCATGAAATTTGAGTATACATATATATATTAATTAAAAATATTGTGTGCATAATTATTTTGAGCCATCATGTAATGTATATATGCAATTTTTTCTGAAGGAAAGGGCGTTAATAATGTTGATGTAGCTTGTGCCAAATCCTTCTGCTTAATGGCAATGAAATATGTTTAAACTAAACGGCTACTCTCGTTTACCATCTGTACTCTACAGTCCTTAGATAACGACAAAGAAAAATCGTAGAATTTCTTGATCAAGTCCTTCTCACACTGGTGAAGTCGGTAGCGATGCGTTAGCAGAAGGCTACATATTGTGTCCGACCATGTTTGAAGATTTTGCTTAAACAAGCATGCACACATTTGTTGCCGTAACAGCTCCTAGTTTCTATGGTGAATCTCTTATCTGTTCACTAGTATCTATCGCGAGTAGGAACTCTTTTAAAAAGAAGTTAGTTTAACCCTGTCGTTGGGAAAACAAACGTTTTTTTTCACAGACATATTTATCGCTACACTTTGTTCTTTGCCCCCGAATTCTAGTGGGATATTGTCAAGAGTTTATTTTTTAACTCCAACGCAGAATTCAGAGAAGGTAAATAACTCCTCCCGTGACAATCCAAGTAATTCCTATTGGTATCCAGCATGATTGACGTTGAGAAATATAAACTATCGATATTATATTGTTATCTAGGTACAGTCCTTTATCACAGGTAGAAAGGCTGTAAACGTTCTTGTATAATTTCTTACCCGTGGTGTTTAAATGATACTTGATATACATCACCAAGGGTAGACCGACACTATACATGAACTTGTACACACATCTTTAGGTGATTAATAAATTAATTCTGAAAACATTGACAAGCAGTCACTGAATAAGTCCTGTATGCATAAATGTGTTTGAAAGTGAAGTCAAATTGATCTTTCCTGTCCCGGTAATTGACACGATTAGGACTCTCTTCAAGGAGGTGAGCGCAATCCTGCACTAAAAGAAAAAGAAATTACTATATTAGAAAAAAGCAACACACCCTCACACACACACACACACACACACACACACACACACACACACACACACACACACACACACACACACACACACACACACACACACACACACACACACACAGACACACACACACACACACACACACACACACACACACACACACACACGCACACACACACACACACACACACACACACACACACACACGCATACACACACATCCATCCACCCACCTACACACACACACAATAATAATGATGATAATAATAATAATAACTTCGTAACGAATAAATGTGTAAGGTAACAAAGATGTCCCTTGCTCTGCTTTTTGGATGTTATGACAAGTGTTCTCGGCAGACCAAAGATGTCGCTAAACAATTTAGGTTCTTTATTGTAAATAGTATTTCCAGAACTCGACATGTCCACCTGATCGTACCTCACCATTTGACTAGAGAAATGAATTGATGTAAAGTACTTATCATAGGTTAAGAGCGAACAGGGCATATCAGATACGATTTAAAACGCACAAAAACTTGAAATGTTGTAAAAACTTAATCTATCTTACAACTATTGCGAAAACAGATTATTTGCTGGCCCTGATAAAAGAACGCGAGGGGTCTTTCTGTGGAAAGAAACCGGAATACCGGACGAAAACCCGTGTTAGTGGGGTTAACTGCCACACAACACCTTCTATCGGGGAATCGAACCCAAAACATCTAGGCGAAAGAAAAGTGCGTTACCACTGCGCCAACCGACCACCCTACATGAACATGAAACATTAACTTTACGTTGCAGCTTATTTAGATAAAATTTGATGTATTCCATTCCTCCACATTATATCTATACTCACGTTATGTTCCAGTATAATTTACACAAAGTAACCTAATTTAAATTCCGTTCCTCCTTATCATAACATCAATTAAATTCAAATGCGTTAGTTCAATATTTTCGAGTAGTAATTTTTGCAGTACATATGTTTACACAGTCAAAAAAGACATTTGAATAAGTAAGTTAGTATTTAAGTAAGTAATTAGGTAAGTTATAATGTAATTAAGTAAGGGGTAACTAATTAATTAAGTAAGTAAGTAAGTAAGCTCAATTATTTACCTTCTTTTGCATATTGCATGAAATTTTAAATAACAATTTTCATCATTCCATGAAAAGTCGACCTCTGCCCTCATCGTCAAGCAATTCTTCGCGAATTTTTTATCGTTCGGTTCATTTTCTCCCCAGTCGTTATATTCTATCCTTTCTTTTTCCTTTGTCCAGATCCAATGATTGTCGTTGTCTTCGTCTGTACCTCCTAAAAAGTAACTCTGAGTCATCGATGGGTACGCTATAAACAAGATCAATTAGTTTGGAGACCTTAAAAACACACGTATTTGACATTGTTCTTAAATTATCAGATATGTGGAAATTTCGGTCCTTTTTTGTTATGGCGATAGTGCATTTCCCGACCTAGGTTTTGGCCTATCTTTCGATCACTTTGGATTTCCTCCGTCGCATCCAAGGCTTCAAACTTTAGGCCCCTAACATCACTGATGAGTCCCAGAAGGACGAAACAGCTGTATGATACAGTTAAATTCATTGTTTAGTTATACCATTTCTAAGTGTGTAACTCTAAGTTAAAAGGCGCTATTCACTTGTGTTAATTTGAACATTTTTACTTCACACTCAAAATGGGATATATGTCACATATCTTAGGCAACGGTGATTCAGTTATTACAGACTAAAATGGTGCGTTACACCAAGTATAGACAAAAAAATATTGAAGAGATTTTTAAGTGTCGGTAAAATAATTCAGTGGTTAAGGATCATCTATAACCCGCCCCAATCGCATTACACTATCACAAGACACCACAATAATTTTGCTGGCCATGTCAATCGGCTGTTTTCTTTTCTGAACTTACTCCATAGTGTAAAACCTGATACTAATCAATATTATTATATATACATATGTAAATATTAAACGCTATGATCTGAATGTAATTATAATCGATAAAATTGCTAAATGCAGTTTAGGAAAATTTTCCACGAAACCCTGAGATTTGCCAAAATGTTTCTTAATCATGAAATAATAAAAACGTTGATGTTGTAAAGAAATAATTCCTGGATAGATCGGTGAATTGATTATGAATGTAGAAAATTGAATTAATCAGTTCATTGACCGAACATAATTAATTCTTCAAATCATTAACATACTTTTAATATTTTTTTTCGCGTCCTCATATTGTACATAATCATTAAACAAATGAAAAGAAAGAACGTAGCTCTCCCTCATAATTCACGTTTCCATTTCAGGGTAATAAATGTCAAAAGAAATGCACAAACCTTTGACGTGGATTTTCCGTAACTCAGATTTGACGAAGTTATTTTCTTCCTCGCTTCTGATCTCCGCAAGATATGCTTCCTTAGAGTCACATTCCTCCTTGTTTTGAAATGAAAGCAAATTGAATTAGGTCATTCATGATTGATATAATCCCATCAAATCTAATAACTTTACCGAGAGTTTGAAAACTTGCTCCTCTGTACGTTTTTGCTTGGTATATTGATGAAGACTGTTTTGGATATTTGGATCAGTGTTAAGAATGAACCACCCAACCACCTTACCCGTTGTAGACTAAGGTCCTGTCGTGAATGTATGCGAAACAGAAATCAGAGATCTCTCTGAATATGGCCACGATGCTTTGCTTGACAAACTTACTAGAAGTATATTGTAACAAAGTATCATACGAATTTATTTCATTTAATGAAGATGGACGGAAACAAGTTACAGCATTTTTAATAGCCCTTATTAAAATGTCGAAAACATCGAAGTACTTCAAGCCTCAAGGACAGTTAAACAGAGATCCGCCTACAAAAAACAGGTAAACTTAATGTCAGGGTACGTCCAGTCTTCAGTACAAGTAAAGATAACAATAACTATAATAAACAGGTAAACAGCTTTCCACCTAGGTGTACGATAAACGTGATGGTTTCAATTTCTCCATTATGAAATTTCCATTTCTAGATATCAACAACCCTTCATCTCCAAACTATGATGTTGCTGTTGGTACATATCACAGCTGATTCGATATTCAAGAGCCTGTTCCTATTATCAAAGTTTTCGTGCAAGAAGTCGTCAACTGGTAGAAAAACTCGCAACACAGGGGTTCCAAAGATATAAGCTAATGAAAATTAAGCGGAAGTTTTGTGGTCACCACAGTGATCTCATTGAAAAATATTCTATTTCTTTGTGTGATATGAAGCTGGATGTGTTTGATGTTCGTTAATTTACCTGTTGATTCCGTTGTGTATACCGTTTGAAAAGGTGACATTACTTACTTAGATTGATCAAGGTTTACTTTGCGGGTGTCGTCGAAGAAGCAGAAGACGCTTACTCTTCCGGAACACCTGGTCTTATTCTCCTTGTACTTTTTACAGGGGCCTCTTTGTAAATATTCCTATTGTTCATATTTAGCACTAGTTTTCTGGAATTTGATTGGATTATGATTATGTTGCAATATTTGTATTTGCTTGATGTTTTTTATCAGACCGGGTACTAAGAACACTAATCACTATACTTGTGTCCCTCTGTTGGCTGACAATTTTTTTTTTCATTCGAGGTTATATTTATCGAACAGCTTGTCGAAACAGGCCAGAAATACAATTCTTAAGTTTCATTTTCAAATATATTGATGACGTCTTGTTTTCATTTTATATGAGATTGATTGTCCACGTCCGTTGTATTAACCTACCAGATCGGAAATCATGGACATGAGATACTTTTTTATATATCAACCGTTTATATTTCAATACAACGTAGCTAGCATGGATAGCTTCCTACCAAGCTGTGTGATCAGCGTGCTACTTTCGATTCCTGATTGTGAATATTCCATTTCTGAATAGCGAAATTCCTGCATCCCCAATCTCTGATGTTTACATGGCGCAGTTGATTCAACACTCAAAAGCCAGTTCCCAATAAAGATTTCCGAACAACATGTTGAACTGAAATACAGCTTGATGAACATTTCTGTGAGGTTTGGAGGTATGGAAGACAACTTGTTTATGTCAGATAGCCTGGAAATGCCAATGTTCTTGCGGGATCAGTTTTATGGTACCTTTTTCTTTTATGTTTTGCTGCTATCGCCGATTTTGTAACTAGTGACAGTGTTAGCTGGTTATATATCCTTAAGTGTAATTATTAAAAACATCATTAGAAAATCGTTTACACATTACAGTAGTATTGGTGTATAAAGCGGGACATCAACTTTTACCATTCTAAGATTGATTCATTGATATTCACTAGAAAAGTAGACATAATACATCCAGTGAATCATTGTAGAATACGAATGGGACTTAGTGCCCTTAACAAACATAGATTTTCTTATAATTTAACTGTAAATAAATTTTGTGACTTGTGTATACATTCTCCTGAAGACGAGAAACATTTCTTTTTATATTGCCCTATATATAACGGATCCCGTAATAAGATGTTGCGTCTGGTATGTAATGAAATTGCTCCAAATGTCAATCCGATTCTTGTTGTTGAGCTAATACCTGATGTTCTAGTAAATATATTACTACATGGATGTGAAACTTTAGACTGTCAATCAAACAAAGTTATATTTGATCAAGTTTTCGATTTCATAATCAATTCAAACCGATTCTAATCATCTCTCTTATTTTTTCTTTATTTTTTTCAGTTATTTATTTATTTATTTATTTTCCTAGTTTTTTTATTTAAATGGTGCATGTTGGAGATTCGTCATTGTAATTTAACCTTAGTCACGAGACACGAGAAAAAAATCTTTCAAACAAAAATTATGATATAGAAAATCTAGAAGGTGCTAAATGATAAAGATGTTTGATAATCGAATAATGATGAATGGTAGATGATGATGATGATGATGATGATGATGATGATGACGATGATGATGATGGATGATAGATGATGACGATGATGATGATGATGATGATGATGATGATGATGATGATGATGATGACGATGATGATGATGGATGATAGATGATGACGATGACGATGATGATGATGATGATGATGATGATGATGATGATGATGATGATGATGGATGATAGATGATGACGATGACGATGATGATGATGATGATGATGATGATGATGATGATGATGATGATGATGATGATGATGATGATGATGATGACGATGATGATGATGATGATGATGATGATGATGATGATGATGATGATGACGATGATGATGATGGATGATGATGATGATGATGATGATGATGATGATGATGATGATGATGATGACGACGACGATGATGATGATGACGATGATGACGACGAGGATGATAACGACGACGACGACGATAACGTGAGTAAATGTATGTGTACTTATGGTATGTTATGATGTAAACTTGAAAAATCTTTCAAAAATAAAAGAAATATGGATGATGATGATGATGATGATGATGATGATGATGATGATGATGATGATGATGATGATGATGATGACGACGACGAGGATGATAACGACGACGACGACGATAACGTGAGTAAATGTATGTGTACTTATGGTATGTTATGATGTAAAAATGAAATAAATATGGAAAAAGCTTCGATAGTAGAGCTAATTTCTTGTTAATTTAGAATTAAACTCGTTTGATCTTAACTTTTAATATTTATCTTTTCTCAACGAAGTGCTTTACTTGTTAATAAGGAAAAGAAGACTAGGTTTTCTGACTGACCTATGCAAGGCCGATACGGAGACGTATCGTTACATCGGTACAATGCACAGTGACACAAACCCTGACACGGCCTGATACCCAAACAATTACGACATTAGGTTAGATGGTTATTTCTCAGGATGGTTAGCTTTTGGAGATGTATTTAGTAAACACGTGTGTTATTATAAAGATATATATGACCGTCAACGACGTAGTTTGAACCGGTATAATGTGACCAGGTAAAAACGGAGAGAAAAGGGAGATAATTTATTGGTCAAGATCTAGTAACTATCTACAGCTAGTTGTCGTAACTAGTGTTCTAGGCACCTTACAATGGTCATCCACTAAAACACAATTCCACACAAGAGATAAGAACCAATCTCTAAAACGATGAAATCAATACAGAATGCCTACGGGTGCCTGGTACGTTTCAATACGTTTTGCTCTTCAGGAAAATTGTAAAGATTCGGTGACGTCACGATATTGAATTGACTTAACCATATAGGTAAACGTCAAGTATATGTGTATATTAAGGCAAGTGCTTTTTTTTTCTAAATTCCGAAATGAGTTAAGAGTCACTGCTTGAATGTTTTTCTATATTTTTACACGTATACTTTTCTGAGTTCTGATTTACAGGGATTCATGTAAGAAGGCATTTGAGGTTGACACTTTTCTTAAGTCCTTCCTTGGTTAATTAACTCTGAAATAAATTCCGCGCCTTTTTTTTTCTTGATTTTTCTTGAATATCTGGTGCGGTGATACACAGTTGTAAATAGTTTTGATCGTTTCTGATTGGTCGATGAAATAGGTTTTAAATTAAATCATTTCTTACATAGTGATAAGCTGTTTAAAAGCGAGGAAGACCTTCTAACTGCATTATTCAGAATGTGCAAGTGATAAATTCCCATGAACAGTTATCTTAACGAAGTTTTTGTAAATGGACCAGAGTTCAAAACGCTCGTTAATAATACTCGCATCGTTTTTTGGTTACCCTTAACAACTAGACATTGTAAATCAGCCACTTTGTGTGGTATTTCAATATTTCATGTTGTTATCAGGCGACAGTCACTCTAATAAGTATCTCAAATCTAAATTAGATAAGATTAGAAAAGATTTTATGTAAACCGTCCGTCCAAAAATACGGAAATTGCAATTCATTAACTAAAAATCACAAGTCTGATAGATAAAAAATATAAAGGTTATTTCGTCACTGGAAAAGACAGTCTAATGTATTTTTCATCACTTATATATTACATTTAATTAATGAAAAGTTACCTTTCAGCGCAGTCAACAGTTGCTCATATTGATTTTTGAGATTTTCGAAATCACCTTCGAGAATACGCCGGAGACTTTCGTATTCTTGCTTAAGGATACGTCGTATCTCTGGCATAGCATGTTCCATGATATCCGAGGTCTGTAACACACTGCAGTGGCGTCTTTTGTGTTCGGGAAGAATGTTTTGCTGATAACTGATACCTATGAGCATGAAAACAAAAACTATCAAAGAACTTTCCATTGTTAACTCAATCGCCCTGACAGCTATTGAAGCAATGTTTTAGTAGGCAGATTTGAAAATCCGTTTTCTTGTTGGAAATTTTAAGTCACACCGGAGGTACTTGATACTACTAAGTGGTAGAGCATTATCGTAAAATTACGTACCAGCGTAAAACCTTTAAATTGAGAGTTTATATGAAAAATGAGCGACTATTTCTCACGGTTGAAGTTGTTTACTTGATTTTGTAATACAATCACAAACTAAGTTAAGTATGATAAAAGTTATTTCAGTAGAATTCACCTAAAACCTTTTTTTCGTTTTAGGTTAATTTCGTTTTTACCGCGGCTTTTTCTTCATTGCTAATTTTTTGGTGTATAAAACTATTTTGTAAATGTATTATTACTCTATTCAATGTGTGTAAGTCTATCACTTTTGATTTGTCACGTATAATTTACCTGATTTATTGTCAGATCATCTTCGGTATGTGTTCTACCCATTTCATGATAAATGCCTGTTAGATAACGATATCATTGGCTAGTGTAATACAGCTTCCACGGCCATACTTACTTATCCTGATACTACCAGTCTTTAAATACGTTTATATTGATCGGCAACTGTCACTGTCAATCGGTATTGCTATAAACATATTGATATAACTTGTACTATGTTTTGTAAAAAAGACTCGGACAGAACTAATTGACCTGCACAAAGTTCCATCTTCAACTTCGAAATTTCGAATTTGGGTATGTCGGCTACATACGAGACATCCGTACCTTGAAAATATCATACAAGCGATTGAAAAAATGTCTTTTCGTTATTCTTTGGATTATACAGTGCATAGATATAGCTATGTTGACGAGAATGGAACCAAAGTACTATAGACACAAATGTTCATATTTACCAGATCAGATAAGTTTTTTCTTTGTAAGGAAAAATGGACACTTTACAAGCGTTAAATTCAGTAGAACCAAACATTAGAAATATACCTGTCATGACAAGTCACTTCCCCTTTACCGCCTACCATGTGACGGGATAGTTCAACAAGATACAGACTAAAACGTTGCAAGATGTCAAAGTCACTCTCCAGTCGTATGATGGATTCTGAAATTCCGAAAGGTATCTAAAGTCTTGCAAAAACAGTGTGTTATGAACAAAAGTAAATAACTGAACGGTTTGAGAGCGTCATTGAACACAGGGGATCCATTAGAGATCAGGGAATATACATACACTTCTGAACGCAATATAATATTTCGTTGTTAAGAGTGGCCAATGAGTGATGTTCGCTTGTTATTGGCATAACCGTCACGTAAACAGTCATAGCTATTGTAAGGCAGGATTCATAATGGCTACTTCACTGAAATACATACGGGAGGTCCGTCGCATTTCACACAGAACAATTGGGATAATATGACTTACCCAAGGACACACCTAGGATCTTTCCCTAATGTTATTTAGGTTACGTTGGACAGTTCTATAAACAGCTGAACAGTCGCAGGGACCCATGACTGAGAAAACGTGCACCTTTTTTTTTTAATTTTCAACTGATATGCTCTTTTCGTATTTCTTTTTTTTATACATGTAGGTGTTTATTTGGTATAACAAATAATTCATCCTAGTTGAACCTATCCCATTGTTAAATTGAGTTTTGTTCGATAATTTCATGTCTTTCCATACTTTTATGCGAAATTGTGCAGTCATTTCTTGTAATTATCCGCAACCTGCACGTCATGTGTCAAGTCATTTGAATAGTGTTACGGTAAGTATAATTAAACATGTGTACTGGACGTTCTTCTAAAATTATCAGAAATATGAAAAGTACGAAATTTTACTGAAGTATCGGGCAAGTGCACCTCCTTAAATTTTGATATTTCTTTCGATCACTTTGGAATATCCTCGGTTGCCTCCTTGGTTTATGCCTTTATCATCACTGGTGAGCCCTTGGAAGGATGAAACAGTTGTATGATTAGGGGACAGTATGCTTGCTTTTGATTAGGTGAAAGTATGCTTGTTTTTATGCATAAAAAATATACTGGAGATGACTGATCATGATTTTGGTTTTAACACGAGATGGATAATTTTAGTGTAAAAATATTGTTATTATCCCAATATCAAAACAAAATTCAACAAACGCCAAATTTTGGACAATTTTGTCCCTCAAATCGTCTCAGCCAATCAAAACGCGCCTTTCAACCATTCATGACCCTAGTAGCTCCGCACACTTTCCTATCAAGTTGTCAATAGTTTCGGGTCAGGATGTAGGTCGGGGCATATAAAAAGGCTTTTAAAGTTTGTCTGTACGGATTATCAGTCTAAATTGTGTTGATATTTATTGCTGGTGTAAATACTGTAAAATTGTCGTGTCTATCTCTATATGGTAAATATATTTGTTCGCTAAACGATCGATAAAAACCGGACATCCGGGAGAGTTATCAGTGTTTCCTTGAAAATGGAGATTGGAAATTATGTATCATTCTCTATAGAATTATCTAGTAATGGTAGGAGACAATACCATGTAATATGATTTCATTTCGTTATTATATAATTTACTGAAATTGGTCCCAGTTATTGTCTTTACCTGCGTTCTGACGTTAGGTCTACATTCAAACTCTCTGGAAACAGAAAAGGGAACCGGAATAAGTCAAATGAGTATTATTATCATACTCTCCAGTTCACATTTCGATTACAAATTCTAGTATGTCGTTATAATAAATTTCTCCAATGTCGATGTCGAGCATCTGCCTCAACCGGAAAGATGGTCGCCATCTTTTGGCTAGCGCCGGAAATGAGTATATTGGGGATAAGGTCATGAAAAATTTTCAGTGAAAAAATTCGATACCCAACACAAGGGCATTATGACGTCATCATCGTTAATTGTGATCATACGGCGCTGAAATTGCCATCTGACGAATTCCACTGTCGGTAATGGAGATGTGATCGATATTTTTCAATCTAATTAATTGATTAATACTACATATTGTAAAATAATAGCCGTTCGTGGGGCTCAACATTTTATTTCATGTAACTCAGTCCGTTATTTATACTAATTTATAAAGTGTCTGTCCATATGAATTCGTGGAATAAATGTACCCATGGAATTAACAGTAATACCCCCGCCAAAAAAAACAAAAAACAAAAAAAAAAACCGCGAAAATAAATGATTATATAGTATAGGGGAATAAATGCACGTATAAATATTGAGCTACTGGTGTACGTTATGGTATTTGCCTGTGTTAATTCTGTGATCTATAATGGCGGGAAAAGAAAACGATCAATAGTTTAAGTGTGAATAGTTATGCAGTGATGACGGGGTAGCTAAGGAAACATTTATAATTTTTATAATACATGTGTGACTATGGGGTAGTTGACCAACAATTACATTTATGATACAGTGTACTTTCGTCGCGGTCACACAAGCTGTCCTGAAGTATACTGGTAATGTGTACATGTAGTTCGTGACATTAATAATCACATACTTCAGAGAAAACATTTAATCAGTTTCAAAAACAAAACAAGTGCAAAATTGACAACAAGACGTGATAATCAAAATGATATTAATAAGCTCTTATGAAACAATGGAACATTGTGGTCAATCCCGGCTTGTTATTATACGAATCCAACTGAAAACAAAGTAAATAACAACAAAAGGACAAAGTATTGTCAGTTGTTTATGCATTTATATCAACAGAATATTGATACAACAGTGATGTAAATAAGTAACTATAAAACCGATAAGGAAACAGTATCTAGCGCGTGCTTAAAGACAACATAAATAGTATTTATAAAATCATCGGACCACGGAAGATGGACAGCTCCGAGTTGCAAATTTCCTTTACGTTAGTGTACAATGATTTTCCAATTTATATCCAAACAGTTTAGTTAGAATCGACCAACAGATGCGGAATATTAAAAAAGGAAGATTTAAAAAAGTGCTAAGCAAGCTGCGTCATTTGAAAACTGATTGTAAACAGCTAAATAAGTGTTAATTGGTTCAATGCTCATTTCCCTCGCGAAGCAGAGGAAACAGAATAACTGTTAAAGAGTGTTGTTACATTTGTGTGAATGACGTACGCATACATAGGTAATCTCATGCGCTTTTAACGATAAGTAACATTTAATGTCTCAAACTTACTATTGTGATATGTAAATATTGACAAATAATTTTTCTTTTGAATGTTAGCACAAACAAATTGATTTTAAATTACAGATAATAAAAATTGAAATAGTACATGTAATAGAAAGAAAAAATGAAAATAAAAACTTCATTGCCTGCGTTCTTAAGACAACTGCTTACTCCACGAAATATAAAAAAAAAAAAAAAAAAAATTGTGAGGTTCGTATGTTTCAGGACTTTTAAGAAATGGCTTTCTCGTGGACATCCCTGATTTTTGATTAATATAAATTAAGAAACCCACTAATTCAGAAATATTAGGGAAAAAACAATTAAGAAAATATCGCTATGGAGAAAAACCATTGTCCAATCAAATTCAATGTAAAAAGAGCAACTAATGAACGAAAGGGCAGATTATTATGGAGATTCAGAAAAATACAAAGAAGTATAAGACCAGGTGTTTCCGAAGGGTTGGTGTCTCCTACTTCGTCGACGACGACCAACATGCGAATTTTGGTCAACCGAAGTATTTTTGTCACGTTCAGAAATGAAAAAAAAAACCACTAGGTATTATTAGTTTGGGTTTGTCTCGGTCAACTTCTAGGCTTGAAAAATTTGGGCCCTCGGCATACCTGACGCTTCCTGGAAAAACAAAACAGTTGTATGATGAAGTTAAATTCATTGTTCAGCTCTACTGTATATCACTGTTAATGTATTTGTATTAAGATGTGCTTTTTAATTGTGAGTCTTTTGTACGATATAAGATAGTTTTGTTTGATTATACGAAGCAATATTTTGCTATAGCAGAAATTATTGCGTTTCTTCCTAGAGTTGTCTTTCCTTATATTTCTTTCGCACCTCCGTACGGCTTTAGCCTAAAATATACATTTTTAAAGTCGTATATGTTTTTAAAACAATATCAATGCTCTAGGATTCATAAAAGTAGATACAACATTCGCTGATATTATTACAGTAACATGTCAATCACTAACGCTCTGAGGAATACAAGGTATATGATATAACAAGTCAGATGCGGAACAATCTGGTCTCCAAGAGTTAGTTCCCTTTGTTTAACTCAGAACTGATGGTACAGCGATAAGCTTGACAGCCGATGGGGTCCGAGAACAGATTCGAAACTGCTCTCTCTCTAGTAAATTGGCAGCAATCCCGGTTTTTACTTGTAGTTCTCATGCTACAATTATGTAAATCAGTTTTTAATATTCTGTCTGTTTGACAATCTGTCTATACTTTCTTTTAATGTTTCTACATTATTGTATTAAAGCCATTGAGCCATGTTTTTTTTTTTCGTATTTCAATCATTGACAGACCCTGTGTGATGTCAAATAATTCGCGAAATCCTGTATTCATAATGATTTGAACAGTTTTCAGAAAAACAAATAGTGTATCTTACTTTAGTGTAATACGTTCAGTGCGAAAATCGCAGAAATAAGATTATTCACGGAGATATGTTTTTACATTGATTTCTAACCGGTAAGTCTTACAGAAAGGTAATTAGAAATATCGATTTTAAGCTATACTTATGGTATATTTACAATATATGAATTTAATATTGCATTATTTTGCTAGACTTTAATCGTAAAATTTGTATTTCCAAGATTTAAATTAATGATATCGATGAACTGTGTGCTATGGATGGGTATATGTATATACATAGACACGTGTAAATGTATATAAAAACTTAAATTCAAGCTAGGATATGAATATCAAAAAGGGTGTTAATAATTCAAGATTTCAATTATGGTATAATCTGAGTTATCACGAGGAAGATTTAAACTGCCATTACTGTAGTTAAGAGGGCACAATAGTTAGAATATGTATCCCGTTAATAATGTTCGTTGATATATATATATATATTAAACCTTTCAGTTGAGAACATGATCCTCTTTGAGTGATCTACTTTAAATACCTTCAAGTCTTTGGGTTAAGGGCACATGTTACCCGTACTTGGCGTATACATTTAAAGTGTATTTGTTACTTTTTCTGTACATAATGTCCGTTTTAATGAGAGATTGCTCTTTGCACAAGACCAAGGGCGCATAATCTTCACAAATACAAACCAATGCTATCTGGTTTATTTGATGTGTTTAGTGTGTTGTCGGCATCTAAAGTTCTCTTTTCCATCGTATGCAAAATGAAAACGGTGTCCATATTTGTAAAGGTGAATTAATATCGCAGACTTTGCAGAAATGCAACTCTATCATTTTTACACCAAATATATCACCTGGCTTTAAAAACTGATGCATTCTAAAAATCCGAACCCACACATGAGTGAAAATATGTACACAAATTTCCTTCATGATAATACTAAACGTCAAAATCAAACGATAATATTTCTTTAAAAATCAGTGGTAAGGTCAAAAATATCAAGACTGATCCCAATGGAGATAAACTGGAGCACAAAATACAACAAATTAAGTATTTTTCATCAATTTGTTTATTCAATAATTTATTAGGTCTTACATGTGTATCACCGTGCATGAACGGATGCCGCCATGCATATATTGTCAATACATTGTAATTTTTGTTATTTAAATATTTTATATTCTATCAAAAAAAAAAAAAAAAAAAACACTCACATCATGGTCGTTAAAACCATCTCACTATAAATACCAAATAAAATAACCACATTTTTGTTATCACAATTCACTCACCTTACGGAATTGCATATATTTAAACATTTCCCTCCGGAAAGTTTTTGACTAAAACAAAACCAAACGCCAACAATGTAGTCATTCAACACTTAAAACACATTTATGTCTACGCATGCGTGAATACATTTGCACATACTATCTACAAAGAGGTCGCTAACGATAATGATCACGTGATTTAGCAATCTTGGTCTTTTATACGCTTAAATGGAGCAACAGAAAGTACAAAACAGTAAAACATGAATTAATTCTGTTAAATTACGAACAATTCCGAGGCTTGACGAGAATTAAACAGTACAATATGTAAAGATGTCAAATTGTTACACACATATCATCCAATTCTTTTCATGAAATGAACCATTTTTTTTACTTCGACGAAGCTTAGCAGCTGATGAAAAACATATTCTTCTGAAATATTTCCGATCGCTGAGCGAAAACACTGTATCTAATGACTCATATAATTTAAGAATTTGTCCTTTGGTATTCCAAATAATCACGTGACGCATACATGTATATCCCATTTCCACTACATTCATCACGTGCAACAACAATCATACTGGAAAGACTGCGAAATTGATTAAGTATCACCTAAACCGTTGTCCATTTCTCAAATCACATATCACATCCCTTCAATAATCGTCACAGACATTGATTACGAATATATCAATATATAAATGATAATATATAATAACTATATTTTAATATATTAATGAAATTCAAAATATTTAGAAACACAAATCACAATTATTTAACTCAGAGTTATCCCCCCCAAACTTAATGTATTTTCCATTAACCTAAAAACAGGAAGTTGGTAAATGCAACAAATATGAAACTGATAATTTAGCTATAATTCAGTCCAATGCCGAAGTAATTTTTCCCCAAATGTGACACTGCACACATACACACATATATATTGAACATATTTTAGTATTAGTTGGAACTCAATAATCCAGAGATTTTTTTCATCCGAAACGGATCATTAAAATTACACAAAAAGAGCTTTGTATTAATGCGAGAATTCATTTGGGACATGTGATATCTTAAAGAAAATAGGAACTTTTCTTGTTAATGTTACTTTCAATATACCGGTATTCCGCTTGATATCACGTTTCAGTGTGAAACACTTAAATATTTTTTGTATGTATATTTTGATACTTTCTTTATCAAATTTCGAAATTTCATTGTCATTGTCTATACTGCAAGTTGATTTACCCGTCCGGATAATTTACTCACAGAAATAGTAACGCGGGACGCAGAATTCGGATTAATTTATAAAACACACACAAGAGAAAAACATCATACAAAAAAATCTGACAAGAAGCATTAGTAAAACAATCTTCTAGCATTTCCCTTGTGATTAAGTTATATCAAAATCAAAACAATAAAGCCGTAATATGATTACACGTACTAATTAGCAACTTCCCTTTCAACAACAATTCAGAATATCTTATTAAGTACCACATTTTATCAGAGCTTTATGCCTTTGTAGGAACTTTTAAATCAGGATTTCTAATATCCAGAAAAAAGGTCAGCTTCTTTCCAAGACATTGACAAATCATGGTGACAAATTGAGCAAGTCCGATAACTCTTTATATATAATATGGTAAAGTTGGCACTGATTGATAGCACTATGAAATGGTACTCTAACCGACATGAAGGACCGAGCATGCGCATTACAGTTCTTTAAATAAAACCATTTATTTCCATAAATCCTTTTATAGATTTTGAACATCCATTACCCGGTGCGGTTCAACACTCTATTTTCAAAACAATATATATACAACCTAAATAGTACTTCATAATAACTGGCTCGTCCTTAAATGACCCTGGCTGTTAATAGGACGTCAAGCAGCTATAAACAAATCAAATATTCCCAATACTTCACTCCGTTTTTATGTTCAGTGCAATTGAAAAAGAAAATAGGCAAGTCTAGAATGGTGACTTTTCTATATAAAAATTTCAGTCTAATATACAAGTCTGTACAATGTATCCTGAGGATCCTTGATAGCTACCTTTACAGAAGGAGAATTTGTTTATCTACGTACGATAATGGTTCAGTTCAACCTGTCTATTCCGGCCACTGAGTATTATAAAACTGCTGCTTTATCCGACAATTGATATTCATTCTTTACCACAAATGAAAATATGATAATGATGATAATTGGAAATAATTAAGTAAAACTTTTTCATTATTCCCATTTTTCTTATGATCAAATATATATACCGGAAGTATAATATTTTCTCATTCTGATTTCTGTAAAATCTTTGCCCGTCTCATCTGACCAGTAAGCTTTTTCTCGGGTTTTGTCGTATAAGACTGAGTTTCCATGAAAATATCATTCTACCACAGACAATTATTCGTGAACATCCAAACTTATATCCCTAAGATCGAATTCGTCTTAATCATAACATCCTGTATAACATGCACATTAAATGTGATTCCTATCTATTGCGTAATTTCATGTCTATATCCATCATGAATAAGACATATACCTCATGCTAAACCTATTTCCACTTGGAGCTCGACAATGTCCATTAAACACAATTTACCGGGTTTTTCTCCGCGTATAATTTGGTGTATATGATGATTTCTCGCCTTATAAGGCCTGTCCTCACGCTGTAACAGGGTTTTAGATATAAGATAATCTAGTGCTGTCATGCGCACTCCACCGGGATTTTCTGCAGTGTCATCTCGTAGTTTCGTTCCATTGTCCTCCAACTTGGCTTCATTAGGGCTACTTCTTCCGTATCCTATATATGTCGTCTTTTGCCTGCTAGGGCATCTTTCCCGCTTTTCGGCTTCGTCAATTTCGCGTATCATGTCTGCTTTTAAAGTAGAAACATCATAACTAGGTTTTACCTTTGTACGAGTTTCCTTGTCAACGGGAGAAACGGAAGGAGACGGAATGTCCATATTTGGTCCATCATTTGACTGATTCTTATCGTTTCCTGTTGTGACGTCACAGTCGGAACTGCTTTTAAACAATTTCATCGTTTCAGAGCTTGCAGCTGTGGTGGTCGGTAATTGGTTAGTATTAAATGGACCGTTAGGTGACGTATCCTGAGACAAAAGACGACCAGCAAATCGTTTCTTAGGTAGCCGTTCCATGTAACTAAATGTTTTGCTACGTTCACGCTGTACTGAAATACTATCATTCACTGCGGAACTGTCCTCAGCCATATTGACGTCATTCGGTTCAATTATGGCAGGTGGTGACGCACGTTTAGGTGTCCCCAAACTCTTTTCATCAAGATGGACTTTTTTCTCATAATTTATACTTGAAGGAGAATACGATGACGACAATGATGATGTCGACGATGAAAGTGATGGCGTTGGGGATGATGACAACGGCGATGATAAAGATGATTCACCGTTTTCCGTTGGAAATCCTGGACGAAAAAAACGTGTCTTTGGCGACAAAGATGTTTTTAAATTTGAAGAGTCATCACACGATTTTGACACAGTGTTTTTACACTCCTCAACCTTTCTTCTCTTTGGATGGCCCATACCTGGACAGTCACTAACGATGTTATTTGGATTCCTTTTATTCAAATACATTGCATTTGGTTCAATTAACATTGCGTCAGTGTAAAATCCAGGAAGATACCCGAAAGGTGCACGCGTGGTTGGAGTCATTACGTTTCCAATATGTCCCAAATGTCCGAAGTGAGGAGATCGACGGATGTCCATTGGTGGTATGTGTCTTAATGGACACGTGCAATTAACATAAGGACATATGACGTCATCAGTTTCCATTCTGTTCGTTGTTGGATTGTCTGTATTTTCTCGCTGACTTAGATCTAAGGGCTGGTCCATAATGAGATCTGGCTTGACACCGGGATGTAGAGTTGGATGAAAATGAATGGACTGGTGATGTTCCGAGTCTTACACTGCAGTCGCCTAAAACACATAAAACCATGATATAGTTACCCAAACATATTGTATTTTCATTGTATGATGTGATGACTCTAAAAATACTTTGATATTGGTTTCTTTCTTATTTCAGAAATTGCCATCTTTAAGGATATTCATTCCTGTCACCAATCACAGTATCATTTAATAAAGAGGTTCAAATACACAAAATTCCCTTAAACAAAGACAATAACTTCTGTTATCAATATGCGCTAAGCATTTAACGTTTTCTCTACTGCTCTGAAAAAGGAACAAACAAAAACACAAAGCATACATGAAAATATTCTCTTCAATTTAAAAAATAAAATTTCATTATCATGTAAACTGGTCAAATGTCACTCGGTTAAATAAGTCAAATGTCCCGAAGTTCAAATACATAGTATAAAGGACGGCTCGTGGTGGCTTCGGTCCTTTTGTGTAAATCTGTCTCTTTTGCGGTTTGCCTATATTTCTCCGTCTGTAAGAATCTCTATGTCTGTCTGTCTGTTGTCTGCATGTGCGACAAACGACCCGCTTAATAAGTTACTGAATAGATAGCGCCGACTGACTTCAATACCAATAAACGAGATTTGAAAGAGAAAACTTCCTGGTTCTAACTTTCATTCACATTGAAAAAACGCCTGAAGCTTCGTTTGCCAATCAATAAAGAGAAATACAAAATAGAACTAAAAATCAGCGAAAACGGGAGGATATTGGGTGCATCTCCATATTCTACCATAGAAGTGTAAACGTTATTCGGTACAAATCACATTCTACTAATTAACACAGTTTTTAACTTTCATTTAAAACCCGTAGCGATTTTTGGATATTTTTTTCCAAATTGTCGCTCGAATATTACATTTCATGAGCGAAAAAATCAATGTATTTTTTCAAAGGCTTCCACGTTAATAAACAATATATCCAAAAATTAAAACTCGTCCTTGTGATATTGGAGGTTGGGAAAAACTGCTGAAAAAATGACAATGTGGTGATATGAGACAAATATTTATTTATTTAATTATTTTGCAGATATGTCAATAACTATGCTTTTACAATCCGGCTTCTTGCCAAATCACTCTACGGCTCACCAACTTATTGAACTCTACCATAATATACTTTTAGCACTAGAGAATCACGAATCTACAGCTCTTGTTTTCTGTGAATCTTCTAAAGCGTTTGACCGAGTCTGGCATAAATGTTTGTTAACTAAATTTGGAAAATACAGGATAAGTGGTAAAGTCTTAGAATGGATAAAAAACTCTTCAAGCTACAGACGTCAATCAATTGTCCATAAAAATATTGTCTCTCGAGAAGTATGTATTAAAGCCTGGGTTTCCCAAGGTTCTTTTCTGTGCCCTCTTCTCTTTCTTGTATACATTAACGATATTTCAAACACTCTTTTATCTATTACTAGACTTTTCGCTGGCGATACTGCACTAGCATTCTCTTCTAAACATTTACACGATCTAAAACAGGTAATAAACTACGACATGGAACAGCTGAATCTTTGGTCTCAAAAATGGTTAATGAGCTTCAATCCAACTAAAACTGAAATACTCCTGATTTCTAACACAAATATGCCTTCTAACCCACAATTTCTCTTTGACAACACACTCATTCCTATCGTTAACAAACACAAACACTAAGGGGTAATTATAAACAGTAATGGTACTTGGAACTCTCACAATGATGACATTTTGACAAAAACTGCAGCACTTTGGAAACTTAAGTACATCTTGAACAGAAAAAAACTTCGAAAAAATATATCTTGTTTTCATCAGACCACTTTTTGAATACGCCTGCGAAGTTTGGGACAATTGCAACACCACTCTTTCAAATAAATTAGTATGAAGCAGGTCGCATAATTACAGGATTACCAGTATTTACTAAAAAAGCATTTATTTACAGGGAGCTAGGCTGGCAATCATTGGCGGACAGATGTAAAAATAGGAAGTTATTTATGTTTTATTATATTTATCACAATAATGCTCCTTCATATCTAAAATCTCTTCGACCACCTACTGTGTCAATTTCTACAAAATAAAATCTTAGAAACAGAAATAACTTCCAAAACCCACTCTATATGTTACAACTTACAAATTCATCCTTTATACCGAGCACTTCTGACTCCTGGAATACTCTACCTATCGAAACTAAGTCATCTGATTCTATTAAACAATTCAAAACTCTTCTACCTCATCTTACTATCTCTACAAATATTAAATCATTTCTTGAGTAAGGGCCTTGAAAAGTAAATATAATATATTGCCAACTACGCAACCGCAGCAGCTCTCTAAATTAGGATCTTTACAAAGCACGTCTTCGACCCAATTCTTCTTGCATCATTCTGAAGACTCTAGTCATAACTAGCTTTTCTGTAACAACTTTGATCAATTACGTAATATAATGCCTCAGTCTCTTTACTGGTACAACGAAATAACTGTGGAACACCTTCTATTTGGGAACGAAAATCTCGATACTGATAAAAATATTGTCATCTGTAGGTCTGTACAATCATTTATTTCTAGTTCTAAACGTTTTAACATTTAATCATTTAAACCAGGAAACCTAGTTTGGTTATACTAGCCCTTCCCCACACCCCTTCCATTCATCCAGTTTCATCATTTCCTCCCAACACCGACGGGTATTGGTTTATTTATATAATTATAATATTTATTTAATATATACTTCGTACAATATTCATATTTTACCAAAACCTTATACTAAGATCACGGCTGTGGTTTCATAATCTTGTTGGCAAAGCAGGTAGAGTACGGCATCGTAGAAGGACAAGGAGTGATCCAGGAGAACGACAACTAAAGCACGGGATGTGACTGAACATTTTAGATAAGAAGAACGCAATGTGTGTACAGTAAAGAGTCAGTTCTTTGCCGACTGGATTAGGAAATGACAGTCACCAAATCCACAGAATTACTCGTCGGTGCCCCCCAACCCCTACCCAAATTTTGTTTTCTTTTTCTCATTTTCTAAGCCTATCTTTTAACTAAAAATATGAAAAGTTCTAGGGCTATTGCGTGACTATCTTAATTTGTATGTTTTAATTTGTTATGGAAAGGCCGTAAGTAAGTTGTTATAACTTTCGTCCAATTCTGTTGTATTTTGTTTTCAACAAAATTGATTTAAACTAAAACTATGCTTTTTAACTTCTCCATGCAACCAATAACATATACAATCGTATCAAAGTTTGTACTATATAATATGTCGGAAAAGCACAGCCCGAAATGCATTATTTAGTCAATCGTTTAGCTAATATTTTAATGACTATATAGTGTTAATTGCGAACGGTACAGATTTTAAAGATAAACAGCAAATATTTCATGGGCAAGTGCAATTAATTTGATTCTTGAATGTGAAGTGGATATTCCAATGGTAAACTGAACAGCTTGCAACATTGTGGCGTTCCCAATATACATGTATACTGCTATACCCCTGTATACTATCTACGAATCCGCAATGGAAATTCATTATATAAACAACTTACTATGTCTTTAGATAAAATACTACAGCGATGAAAGAATCTTTCCAGCAGGAAAAGATTGCAAGCAGTTTGCAGTCTAAAGTTGTCCTTTGCTTCGGAAACTAGTTCGTAAATATTCCCGACACATTGTTATCTAGTGGGTGAAAACATCCAAGAATTTACCGAAATCCACAAGAACAATCACTCCTTCGTCGATCACATACATTCATCGGTTGTCCGAAATTTGTATTTCCGGTGAAATTTCCACAGAGTCTCGTACAAGTATATATACACCTACTTGTACACATGTAAGTATGACTCCAGATGATCGCTCGGAGAAACTCACTTGGAGTTTAGGTCAGTAATTTGACCAGAAGGAAGGTAGTCAGTGATTATTGAGTACCACCTCATTGACTGCCAATAAAAATAGCAAATGGTGATATTACACCGTCACCTAGCTCATGCCAACCACTACAGGTTAATGGGTCAGCTGGGCTAAACCAAATGACCAGCTTGAAGTACCGGTTTTCTCACAATGTTGACCGGGGCTGACCCCTGCTGACCAGACCGCGGCCAGAATTCAGACCAAATTTTAATATAGATCGACCAAGGTGTTGACCTCGGCTTTTGTGTACATTGTATGAGTGGTCAGATTAGACTGAAGTGAATGGGGTCAGATCAAATTATCCTTTACAAAACATTATGGATAATTTTCAAACGGTCTAATCTGAATTACAATTGTAAACATAAGCAACGCCTCCACGACATAGGTCAGTCCAATGTTGTTGTATTTTTAAAGTTTTAGGTTAATCTTTTTGTCTCGATCAAACAGGCGAATCCGAAATCGGTCATCAGGTGGAATAAGTATATACAAGACCCAATCATATGGAAAACGAGATACGTGTCTAAATAAAACCATATATAAAAGTGGGAATACAGAACGTCACGCGAGGTGCGCACGGCGGCTGCACGATATTCGCACGATATAAACAGAGCAAAATTTTAATTTGTTATCGTACATGTACGTGCACAACGTGTAGTTTTATCGTGGTTACTGATATAAATGAAGAAATGACTAAAGAATAAATGTGGGACAGGGTTTATTTATATCTGAAGTATATGAAGTATATCCATCACCGCACATTGTTTTTTTATTTAGTTATTGATTGTAAGTTCCGGAATAGGTTTTTTTTTCAAATGTACATAAAAAAATATAATATATCTTTCAGTTCCTACTATCGACTTAATATTCCCCAAACACTAATACTAGATTTCGTTACAATACATGCAATGATCTGTTTAGTGGTCCGTTCAAAAACAAGTAAATTATCTCAACATTGATATGAAATTCCATGAATTCGTGATGTTCACTAAACACGTAAGACGAACCGTGGACGTGTTAAATTTTCTACAAAGAGGCAATCAATAGAGGGTGACCGTTTGAAACTGATGGTCTGCTTTTTCACAACACATATGTTTGTATGTATTAAGGAAGACTTAATGACCTCGATTGACCTGGACTTGAC